ATCTCAAAAGAAATTTTAGATTTACATATTTGGCACATTCTAGAAGTTAAATTTAGAAAACGGTGGAAGACGGTGGCACCCACCTTCGCTTTTACTACATAAGACTTGCTTAAAAGGATGTCAGTCATTCAATGTTTGGGAAAATGATAGTTTTTTTTGTTTTTTGTTTTTTTTTTTTTAAGAGAAAAGCAGCTTTGTTTGGGCAGGAGTGAGCAAGAACAATTCTGTTTCCTTTCATCTTCGTCCTGTTGCTGTCATCTGCTAACATTAACCCCGTCACCTCCTCTCTTTTTGTCTCTCTTTTTTGCCTTGCTCCTCATCAACCCTCCCTCTCTCGCGTCTTTTCATTCCTGCCTTGGCCTACCCCGCCTTCAGCATTCGCTTTTCATCCCCCAACCTCTCCCCTGTCTCTGTCTCCCCCCCTCCCCAGATTCAGGCAGCGTGTTATTAGCGAGACTGCCAATGTGCCTGTCAGTGTGTCAGAGGGAGATAAGCACAGGTGGAGAGAGAGTTACATAAGCCTCCGTTGATTACTGTGGAGGTGAGAGAGAACGAGAAAAGGAAAGTGAGAAGAAAAGAAGGAGAGTGAAAAAGACAGATTGCTGTACCTTAGGAAGTACATTGTGCTCTAATGTTGCCTGTATGGCTGGCTGGCGGTAGATAAGCGCAGGCTTCAGGGGCCAGCTGAAAGCACAGTCATTAGGTTGGACTCCCTAAACCAGCAGCTTGCTTCATAGATTGCAAGTTTTGCTTTTGTTATAATGTTAATAACAGGAGAAAAATAAACCCTGCTGAAGGTTTATTAGGCTAATATGACATGAAAGGTGGGCCGCAGAAGACATGATAATACACTGAAATGTGGAGTTTAAATTAAAATTGTTTTTTCACCTAAGCTTTATTTCTTTAAAGGAAAAATGATGTGTTTAAAAACTGCAGCCAGTGTGTCATATATTACCATTATTACCAATTTAGTCATTTTCCAGGAACACAAGCTCTTCTAGATGCCTGGGATTTGTCATCTTCCTCTTGGAACGGTGCAGTACCAGTGCAAACTGTTGGGGCAGTGTTGAGTAGGATAGTTCAAGTGCAATCATAGGATAAACAGTGAGAAGACTAAGAAGAGCAAAGATTGTGTAACCGCATGTCGTGGTGAATACCACGCCCGCACTGACCACCACCATCTCATCAAAACTATCGAGGCGTGGAAATTAACTCCAAACTCCCCCTAGTGGAGTCAATGCTTAACAACCATTATTGGAGCGATTATTTTGAATGGAAAACTCCAAACAATGCACAAGAGTCAAACATTATCTAAACGGATTTTTTTGGGGTCAGGGTTACAGCATGCTGGGTCACAACCTCAGTAGGTCTTAATATCGGCCCCATTTCAAACACAACCATATTTCTTGCGAGGTTCCATTGATCTCATCTTCCCCCTTCAGTGAGACTCTAGTGCAGCATTAGAATTTAAAAGCACAGTGTTGAACTGTGGCTGTGGCCGACTTCACTCTGCTACATCTGCTCCACTGAACATCCACTTTGTTTCTCTCCTGAACCTGTTAGTGCTCTCTGTCGGGCCTTACTGTCGCCCTGAATGTGAAATCTTGACATCACCGCTCTAGGCTGCAGCAGCGTGCTCCTTCGTCAGTCCACTGTAGACACACACACTCTGTATATGAGGATGACTCAAAGGGAAAGGAAATGAAGTCAATATTACATTAGAACAATTATTAATAATGACCTCAGTTTCCACCTTAACCATTTCACCTCCTTACAGAGTCGATGTCCAAACTCAAAGACAAAGGGAGATTGTGGACATCAACTCCAGCAGACGTACACATCACACTCAGTCATGGACAGCTAAAAAGGACATTTCTGCTGCTTTCTTCCTCCACGTTTTACCCTACATTTTAAATATCATCCCTGTAATTCCTCACATTTAGTGTGCATTCGTGCGTGTCCGTGCGTGCGTGTGTGTGTGTTGTTGTTCGTGCCATGCCTTCATCTGTATGCCAAGCGTTTGTCTGGAGTCCCTTCAGCTAGAACCAGCTTAACAGCAGCTCAAGGCCAAACAAGTGTGAGGATTAAAGACAAATACATCCTCTCTTTTCCTTTCTTGTCTCAAGGAGGAAGTAAATGAGTGTCCTTAACTACTGCTGAGGTGCCCTTGAGCAATTCTCTCACAAGTGCCAAGTGCCATATTGTGGAAGAAAAACATCACAAGTATTATGTTACAAAGTATTATGTTTTTTTTGTTGCTTTTTTTGCAAACTCAAAAAATAAATAAATAAATATATATATATATAGTGTACGAGGTACAAATCTCTGTGTCAGCAGTGACACTCAGTTCTCTGTGGCTGCAGCAGACCACAGTCCTCCATCACATACACGTTGACAACAGGCGCACTAATAAATGAAGGAAATGGGAGGAACAGGAACGGTTGTTGTTTTATTTGTACCACATATTTCCCATTAGGTTTGGCATTTTTTCTGCTGCTGACAAGCTAATTAAAATGTACAGGTACCGTTGACACGTCAGGGAGGGGAAACTGTGAAGGGCTGTCAGAGGACAGGGAGCGAGAAAGGTGAAAAAATGAAATAAAACTAAATCATTTACACTTAGTAGGAGTTAATGAGTCAAATCCAACTGGAATAATAACGCTGTCGTGGTTCAGGTACGAAATAATGTAGAAAATCACTTATGTTAATCCAAACTAAGCTAAAATCTGCAAAGGGTTTTTTTTTTTGTTTGTTTTTTTAATTAAGGTCTTGTTGCCAACTTTAAAGACCTGTTCTTGTTGAGGTTCATAAATTCGTAGTTATGGCTTCTCCACTGGTGAATGGATGGTGGATCTTCCTGATTTTAAATGTCCTCTTGTACAAATGCTAATATTGTTAGGACGTATAACGTATAAATTAGCATAGCAATTTTTTTCCATTGCTATTGCAACAAATACAAAGATTTTTTCATTTTTTTATATAATAGTAATAATAATTTGAACTTTGTTGATCCCACACTTCCTTGTGTTAAAAGCAGATCTGCTGCAACAGACCAAGTATGTGGTTCCTCTGGGAATCGAACCCAGTACTATCTGCTCTCTGTAGAGGCAGGTGTGCTAAAAGCTACACCATGGAACCACATAAAACAGGGGTCCCAACCCCCGGTCCTGGGACCGGTGCCGGTCCATTGGTCAATTGGTGTCGGTATCCTCAGTGAAGTTCAGGTTTACTAAATGACTTCATTCAAAAAGAATCCACTCTTCTCCCTGCACTTTTTCATTAATGATCATCTGGAAATGTTTTAAAACAACAGGTCATTCACACTCTGATGCTGACAGAGTCTAAAAGAGCTTTTATTTAAAATGTAATGAACGATGATGTGGTATTACCAATCCGCAGTAATAGCTGCTACCTGGTACCAAGGATAAGTATAATACAGGTAAAATACATTTTGATGCTGCAGTGTGGCTGGACCGTACTGTATATGAACCTATAAAGAGGCGGAGACAACAAACATGGGTTCTGGATTAGCATGATGCTTCTCCAAGCAGGGTTTTAGGTGAGGACAGTGTTAAGAGGTTGGAGACGACCAGGCTCGTATATAAAAATGTGGAATAATAAGAAGCAGATCTTTTCATGTGTAGGACTCTGCCTGCACACACAGGATGGTTCAAACACAAACATTCCGCTCTTTCTCTTTGGCTTTCTTTTATTCCGTCTCAGTCACAAAGACATGGTTTGTGCGCGCACACACACACACGTACTGTTATGTAAATAGTCTCTTCAGCAGAGTGCTGCTGTCACTGAGCAAGCATCCTCTGGGCCATCTAGGCAGCCTCATTAAAACAAGGCACAGCAACCATTAATAGATAACAGCGAATGTGTGCAAAAAAGAAAATACATACTCACATATACAGAGTAACACACACAGCACTTTCACAGACACCAATAAAGGACCGCCCAGAAAGAACATCTCCAAATGTTCCTCTCCGGTTTCACTCAGAAATACTTCCAAAGAAAAGGTTCAAATGTCACAGACTCAGGGAACATTGTTCAAATAGAGACTGCTATGACTGACTATAACGGAAACTGGCATCAAACACTGGACTCTAGCTTTAAATAGACACCTGGCAAATAAAACAACATTTACCCCAAACCCAGGACTGGTTGGGATGTTTGTTCCAATTATTTATTTTACTTTTTGGTCCAGGCTTTGTTTGAAAAGTGTGGAAACTTCAAGATAAAGTCATAGAAAAAATAAATAGCACCAACACAGACAGCACTGACTGGGCCTCTACTGCTGCACCTGGTGCAACCAAAGGAAAGGCAGTGGCCTTTAATTATTGTACATTTGAGGAAAGCCTCGTAAAATACAAAATCTTACATTTAACTGCATTCTTACCATACATGATGCACATACACTTAACCTGTCTGATGATTCCTATCTTTGCAGATAGTCCCCAGGAACAACCAGTATAAAGTAAAGTCTGTCGATGAGCTTCAATCACAACTGACACGAGGATAGAACACACATAAAAGCAACTAAAGAACTCTGAAGCTGTTTTGCTTTGAATGCAATGTTGAAATTTAGACAAATGATAAACAAGGAGTGACATTCAGGGCTGACGCTGGCCCACAGTTTGTCCTTTAACTTTGAGCCATGTTAGTTGTTGTTCAAACTCCACTGTTGGCCCAGCCATCTCAGCGAAGGGCAAAAAAACTAACCTTGAGGTGTGGACCACATGTGTCCCACGGGCCAGGAGTTGAGAGCCCTGCCCTTACCTATAATAGAAACGACCACAAAGAATACCATGATGGTCGATGTGAGTTTAACAGAGCCTCTCTGCCTACTGATGGTTTTGCAGCTAATGAAAAGCCTGTTTTTTTAATCCGTCAAACCATCAAAAAAGCACATTATTCAGACTGAAAAAGACAGACTGTGACCACTCACACCAAAACCTTTAAAGTAAAAGGGGCCTCTGTGTTCTTGTGATCTGCTGGCCCCGCAGGTGGCTCCCGAGGTGTGGGCTTCATTCGCTTTGATAAGAGGATAGAGGCTGAGGAGGCCATAAAAGGCCTGAATGGACAGAAGCCATCGGGAGCCGCAGAGCCAATCACAGTCAAGTTCGCCAACAATCCCAGCCAAAAGACCAGCCAAGCTCTTCTGTCACAGCTCTACCAGTCCCCCAACCGCCGATACCCAGGACCCCTCCACCACCAGGCTCAGAGATTCAGGTGAGTACAGTAGTGAGAGACCTTTAACAGGAGTGAGTGAGTAAAGTAAGAGCACATCCAAGTACAGAAGACTGTGATATGTCAATATGATATGGGTAATCTGGGCAGTTAACCAATTAAAATGTGATGATCGTATGAACCGCCTTTATCTCTGTGAATTGTGGATGTTAAGAACAGACATTCTTTACAGTGAATTATTACTGGTACAGACAGTAGGGGGCATATCATCCATAATAGCATCCCATAATAAGGATATAGAAATGGAATTAATAGTTTCAATGACTCAGCTGTCCTGACCAGTTAACTGTCCTGATGCTGAGGTGCGGCTCTGCAGCCACCGCTCTGTTTCCATGAAATACAGAATCACCGATGAGGTGTGTGATCAGTGTTCGATTCATCAGGCCTAAATTTCTTCCAGGTAAACATGTCAATGAGTCCAATTAACCAAGGATCCACGTCCGTTTTGAACCACAGGCCCAATTTAGAACACACCTGCACCAAAAGAAAGTTCCAGAATCCTAACGAAGGGGTGTTACCACCCACACGGTGACAGCATGAGTCATGGCTTCTGTGTAAGAGAAATAATCCAACTT